TACAGAGATGGACACGGTCGTGCGGGGTTGTGCGAAACCTGGGAGGTTTTTAAGAACAGTGAAATACAACCTGTGAAGCACAATACGTGCAAAAATACATGGGACAGCTTTGCCTCTACAGTAGCTAGTTTAAATCGAGTTTTCATTTAGTCGTCTTTTTTCTCAATCATTCCGTACGTAGTTTGTTGCCCTTCGAATGGTTCTCGCAAAACCACATTCTACACACTTAATTTTACGCCTCTGTAGATAGATTTTGAACAACCATTTGTTTTTAACGAACGAAACGATAGTTGTCTTTGTAAGAAAATGTACCCAACGGAAACGGGGGGTTAATTGGCACAGTACAGAGACAATGAGTATTCTACAACTGTTGTGGTGCAATAAACGTAACAATGACATCGTGCCAATAGCATGATATACTGTCCACACGGCAATTGAGTCCTAAATGTCAAGAGGCTTGAAAATGGAAAAATAAACTCTACACCAGGAGAGTCAAGTCGAAAAAATTAATTGTGACAAAGTTGACAGAAAAACCAGAGGAAAAACGATACCGACTGTTAGTCAAAAAGTAACTAAACAAACAATGTTCAAACCCATAAATAATGTTCAGTCAACTGCTACAGTAGCATACAGCGGTGTGCATTTTTGTCTGGAGGGCTTTTACAAGTTTTCATTTCTTCACGGCGTCAAGTTTCGTCTTCCCAAGAAGTGATTCCTCTGAAACCTAGTATAGTCTTCTTAGACAACCTCTTAATACTATGTTGAGACACACGTTTGTATCAAATTTATCCACTCCAGGAAAAGGTGTCGAGAACATTACTTTGAGATAATAGTTTACAGATACTTCATTTTACAGGTACGGGTATTCGGTACACAGTCCTGGCTTTCTAGCTACTATCTTCGGTGCTCCAATGGTCAACCAGACTTAAGGACGTATGGGATGAGTGGTGAACTATTATGTACTTTTGTAGCACAGATATAACATGTGGGCAGTGGGCATGGTACTGTGAAATTCCCAGTAGTACATTCTACTGTACGATGATCATTTAGACAACCATCAATCAGAGACATGTCACACAAGTTATCAACATGTCAGGAATTCTGGCATGTTTCATTCCCAGTATTTCCCCATTAGATGACGGAATGTACATCTAATGAGTACAAAGCAAAGGTTCACATTTACACCTGTGGATAAACTTTGACATTCCTGCAGGAGGCACATCCTGAAATCTGAAGGGGAAAGGATCACCTTCTACCAGCCTTGCGTGCAGAACGTCGGCAGTGTCAGCTGAGATAAAAGGCACCAGACAAAGTGCACGCAAGGTGAACAAATGGAAGAATTTGCTGAGTGCGTCACTGGTGAGAAATGCAGATCGGTATCGAGACAGTCTTGTCTTGAAATGTTTTCATATGTCACTTTCCGTGCAGGCATCATTCATAACGTTTAAGGGTGCGAGATGGTCATCCTAAACTTGTCTGTTAACAAAAAAGATAAAGGAAAATATATTATGTAGATACATGTACTGCAATCTAAAGAGAATAGAACCTGAACTCCAATTTTGTAGTAGAATGTAGATTATACAGTAGAGCGAGAGTTAAACTTTATATACTGCTAGAATATATAAGTTTCCCTATTTTATACACATAATATAGGAAATTTCATGTTTTTAATGCCTTTGGGCAAACCCAAGATCATAAAACATATCTGTCCTAACAATTACACCATCACAAAGAAGGAAGAAGCCAAATTCACTAAGTAGACTATAGCATTCATACTACATGTAGCTTAACAATGTCAATGAATTCTATTGTAGAATAAACTATTTTGGTGTGACCAGTACTTAACCCAGTTGATATACATGAATGATAAATGTATTCACTCATTAAAAACAAACTATGATCAAGTCAATTTGTAAGCAAATTTTATTCATGACATCACTTCTGTCCTTTAGATAAAAGAGACAAAACCACATCCTATTACATCATAATCATTTAAAGCCTAAGAGTGTGCTCTGTGAACAAGTAACAGATTGTTGTACAAATATTGACATGGCATATGTTGCACAAGAGGAGAAAGGCTGATGGAACAATGGAAAACCACATAATGTGTGTTCCTCAAAGTGCCAAAAAAATAAAGCCATTAAGTAAAAGTCACAAGGGGCAATGGCATAGTATTACAGTAACACAGTCCAACAAAAATCAAGGCTGAAAAACTAAGGTGTATTTTGTTTAGTCAATGTGATACAATAAAAACATCCCTTATATAGTATTATGATATACTGCATCCTACTGTGGCTAATCATTTAGTAACATTAACAAAGGCAGGTATTTATACCAGCATTAAAAAAACCTTCTATTTTTGTTCTATACTATTACATTGTAGTCATGAATTGCCTATGTTAATAATCATAAATCATATTAAGTAATATCATAATGATTAGTTAGACTGAACTCATGTCTTGGACCATGATTCTATATGATTAATACACAAAGTGGACAAAGTAAGTTAGTATGGTCACCTGCCCATAGTGGTCAAATTTGCCCAGTCCCTGAGTGACCACTATAGACGGTTTTGCCTGTATAGGCCTGCAATGACACCCCTGTTTACACCCTGTTGTTCTTGTATAAAGTTTATTTATTCAGATGTAATTTGTGTTTTCTTTGTAAGTCAATGCAGGGTAGAAAGTTCAGAATATGTATGTACACATACTATATTTCAAACCAGCAGTTACCTCAATTTGTACACCGTAAGTCAAAACTACATTGTACAGAATTTTATGACTTGAACCTGTCAGAGTCAATGAAGGATGTAAAATGACTTGTGCACGTTTAAGTCTAAATACAGACTTAAGAACATGACCTGTATCTCAGGTAAGTGCAACACACAAACATCAACACAAGTTGAATTGTCCAAAGTCATGGTTCAAAGTTTTATCCTTCTAACTTCTAACTATCTTGCCCTTATTAACTGAGTAAAATGTTAATCTGACAAATAATGGCTGATGAGAATATCTGACACAAAGAAACAAAATCTAGTCTGCAACAATTGCCATTCAACATCACCTTTCTAGGCAATGTTGGAAAGAAAGTGTCATCATTTCAAAAGATTTCAGAGTGAGTTTACAAATGTAACTTTCTGTGGGGGTAAAGGAGGTATCTCAGATGTCTCCAGTCTGGAATGGGAAGGAATGCGCAGCAAAAAGTAGAAATAGAGCAAACCTGAAATGTCAACACTGGGAGCAAGTGGATTTACTTAACTCCAAAATGATACTCTTGTGACAAAGGGTGTGCCACTCAGCCTGTTGTTCAGGTGGTGAAACCCTAACCCCCACCAACATCAATATACCTTAGATGGGCCGCCTCCCTTTGTGACCCGGGTCAATGTATGCACACTGCCACAGTTCATTGTCACTGAACCTTGCTTGTATCACACAAGTAACACAATACAGATAGACCAAAGGATGAGAACAACAAATAAAATAAATGTCAAACCTAGTGCAGTGACAGCGGCTAGTTTTGTGACAGTGGGACATTGTATATTGGGGTAGGATGGGTGCAGGTGTGCCTGACTACCCGCCAACTCATTGGTGATTGTAATAAATATTTTGGTAAGGTTTGTCCACACATGTTCTGGGTATCAGTGTATCAGAGAAACGTGTCTGACTACCCTGCCCAAATTTACAAAAAATGGGCAGGAACATGGTGAATTTATGCGTCTTCGCTTGAGTCGGGCACGCGAAAGGCTGTTCCATGGATGGACTTGGCGAGCTGCTGGCCAATTCACCCGTCTTGTGGCAGACGTCTCCATTACGCAGGGCGGCAGGATATGTTTCACCGTGGGCAGCAAGGTGTTCAGCCGTCGGGAGATCAAAGCAATGTGAAGTTCAGGCCAAAACGTATCAATACCTGACCCTTTGCCCTAATGCGGGGACTACTCACCCTTCATGCATGTCAGACAATGACTTGGACCACTCATTCACCAGATCAATTACGCAAATATCGACTTGGCAGCTGGCCCACGGCCCAACAAAGTCACACTTTATGATTTTGGAGAAAAGGCATTTTGTAAGACGGGACCAACTGATGGGGGCTGAAAGCGAGGATCGGGCCCGCAGGGGGTTTGTGAAGAAATCCGTTGAAACAGAATCGCACCGTGCATTCTACCCTGTCGCCCTTTCAAATTCCTCCGAGAACTTGTATGAAGCCGCGCAGTAACTTGACTCACAAGGTGTCCAAAATATTTGTTATGAGGGAGGGTATTCTTGTAAATAATGACTGCTTTGAAAAAGTATAATGAGTGACCAGTGGCAAACACTCTTGTAGTGAAAAATAAAAAATTATGATAAGCGTACAATAGGTGTCTCATCATTTATTGTGAAATCATGAGTTACATAAATGTATGTTTTTCAACGATATTGCAAACTAAAGGCATTTTTGGAATAGTCATCATGTGCATTCAGCCGTCTTGTTACAGAAAATGCTATCTTTAGATCCTGGTTGGCAGTTTGTTCTATCTTAGCCAGTTTGAAAATCCTACAATATCAAAATCATATGATGACCTACGACAAATGTGACTATGCCATTAATCTGTTGGCTGGATGCTCTCTTCATTCCAGCAAAGATTCCAACCCCTTTGAGAAGTCTTCAAATGCTGTGTGAACCGTGACAGAAAAATCAGGCATGAATAATGATATTAATCTGATAGTTACAGGGTCTCCTTATCCCTCCTTTTGCAAAGGAGAGATCAGGTAGCTACATGTATGATAGGAATGGATACCAGGCTACAGCAGTGTTACTTTGCCGATGATCTTGCGGAGCAATTGGATAAATGAATGCTTTTGAACTTTGAAAGGCATAAATACTAATGGACAGCTGTATAAACTTTGTTAAACTCTGTATGTAACTGTATGTCTGTAAATGAAAGTCTATTGTAAATACATGCCCGAGGGCTAATTGCAAATACAAACAACATGTACAACGTATAAGAAAGAAAATACAATGATATGAGAGACTGTGTGCAAAGTTATACATGTACTACATTATACATGGAATGTTTCAGACTTTTAGTTGTTAAAACTTGTTATTCTGGACAATTAAATCAAGAGTTTTAAACATTCTCTAAGCATCGCAGACTGCAGCAAAGGACAAAAAAGATATCAGGACAATACAGCTATGAAAATGCACCAAAATGTCTTAATACATGTACCTTAAAAAAAGAGAAGCTTTTGAGGACATTGATTAAGTAGTGGATAAAACATGCCAGCACTGGTCTGTTCCAATTAAGTTTTCTCCCATTCATGTGAGGTAGTTGTGATTTGTTTGGTAAACAGGTGGGCTCTGACATACATAAACAGGACACTGATGGCAAAATCCTGGTCTACCTGTCAAACAGTCAGCACTGAAAAATCAATATATTAATGGGAAGATGATAAAGAAATATGATTCTGCAGGTTGATTACATCTTACATCGCAACAATACACACACAGCAACAAAGGTCAGCTAATGCAGGTCTGGAAGTGGAGACGCTCTAAGTTTGATAGTTTACTACTCAGCAAACTGAAATATCAAGACAGATATCAACAATCTTTCATAAGATTTTAGCATCTATAAGCTGTGGTACATGTACTAAAGCCATTGGGGCCAGCAGACCCTGGTACTTTTAAAATGCAATTTACTAGTACGAGGGAAAAGCACATGTGGATTTTGCAGTGTTTGAAGTTCACCAATAAAACAATTCTGCAGTATAATAGATATGCAAAACAAATTTGTGTCAAGTGTTATGACACTACTAAAAATAAAACCGCTGTGAACATTTCCAAATTTACAGTAATTCTTTTTCTCAACTCTTTGGAATCTGCAGCTGGTAGAGGCATAGTCTGACACCGGAACTGGGTGAGGCAGCAGCGTGGAAGCCTGGCCACACAGGGGTGAGGACTGAGCAGGTGGCACCGGGAAGGACCACTGCTCTCTCCAACTGGGTGGAGCAGGCTGCAAACAAAGAGAATTCTGTTGTAACCAGCTAAATTGAGCTATTTTTTTTCTTCCAGATGCATCAGTCTGATGGATGTTGATTTTGTACACAGTGGTATGTTCAACAAAAACACATTTTGACAACAAGAGAAATAGCTGTCTCTGACATTGATTAAATGCTGTAAAAAAAGTATGAAGCAGAAAAAGGAGGAATGTACGGCTGGTACTAAGCATGCCCTTTGATGATTTTTTGCTACACTTTTTTTTGCTGCATCTTTATTTTAGAGTGGGAAAACAGCTTCCAGTACGTACCTCACGGTTATCCCATACATATATATATATGCACTCTTTCTACTAACTCTTCCATCTTATCTTTGCGTCAGTCCCAAGACTTGCACAAGGATGCTGAGGAGCCCAATGGCATGTCTGCCACCAGTCTCAGGATCATCTTAAGTTTCAGCTCCATGCGTTGAAATGTTTTGCGGACTGTCCAAACAAAGGTAGACCTGACTGGCTGCCGTCCCACACACCTGCCTCATGTGAAACCTGCCAGTTTAGGTGTGAATAAACTGGAACAAGCGGAATAACACCACTTTGGACATGTGCTGAAAGAACGACTCTGACTTTCCTCCTAACCAATTATAATTTTTATAAACAAGGGCGGGGAAAACTTATGTCTACCATGGTCAAAGCAACACTTCATGCATGCTATGGCAATATGTCTCCATTTATAGTTTATACAATCATTTGTTTTATTTTTTCAGTGGTAACTTCATGGTCTTACTGAATATCTAGTCCTTGTAAAAGGACAGACTGGGAGTGATGTGCGAAATATTTCTTGTCTTTTCAACAGTATACGCTTTTTCCTCTAGATCTGCATTTTACTGTGCTTGGCATCTGTGGTTACTGTAATATTCTATTGTTAATTATCTTGTGAAAATTATTATCAGTCATGGGTCAAATTTGTCAATGCTGTTTTTCACCCTACACTACCTTCCATCTTGAAAATGTTGCAATATTATATTTGTCAAACTCAGTGTTAAAATGAGTGCCAAAATTAAAGGACAGTCTTGTCAAATATCTTATACATTTCTGAATTTATCAGGTGAAAAATTGGACAATTGGTCAGGAAATGATTTGGCCAAAGTGATGACCACCCCACATGACAGGGGAGACACAAGCCACCTGCGGGACAGTTTGTGGCCAAACTTCACGCACAACTGAGCAAATACCAAGCATGGGGCGCTGAAAGGTACAGGGGCATGTGGAACCATACAGAGTCAACTTGAAGAACAATCACAATGGCCCAAGAAGACTTCTCAGGGGACCAATAATATCTGTTCTATGTAGACAGATGGTCACCATAGACATGATTGTCAATGGGAAAAATTGTCACAGGGACCACCAAAAAGTGGTCACATTGGCCAGGTGGTCCTTAAGTAGAGGTGGTCATTTTTACAGGTTGGATTGTATCTCTAGAATGATGCCTAATTGAAAAGAAATTTAGTGTCATAATGCCCATCTTAGTCTTAAGAACAGTACATTGTATTGCGAAGAAAAGTCGGAATCTGAAGTTTTACTAATTACAGTGATGTAGTTGGCCAAGAAAGCAGATGCATACTTTTCTCGTTCCTCTCTGAATTGCTTTGCTTCCAATGACAGAAGGTATAAGAATATTATGGCACAATCTGACCCAATATAAAACACCTTTTGCAGTCCATCATGTACTGCCCTGTGTATGAGTTGGCTGTAACGATTACCTTTTGTCTACCTTCTCTAGTCCAACACACACCTACACACATACACAACCTACACGGGTTTTCCTGGGGGAACGGCCACTGTGCTAAACTATGAAGTGCTCAAACAGTTGTTGTGACTCCTTTCTGATTAACGAGTCCCATGATACTACTTGTGCCATGTTTCCCTTCTCAATATCTGGGGAGATTTAGGACCCAAACACAAGTGTTTGCTCCATAATTATAAGCCCCAGTGATTCTCACACCTCCAGTCCACCTTGGTTTGTTTGTACCCACACCAGTCTAAAACTTAATCCCGGTCAGGTCCCGGGTTCGCCCCCCCCCCAAGAACCGTGCGGTCGCCTCGTGTTTACTACATTCTACTGCAGCGATGACCCCGGGGCTGGGAAGGAATTCTCGAGGACTAAGGTGTCGTCAACGACCATGTCGACATTTCTGTACCGTGCCAGGACGCGAAATCAGAGTCGCGGATTGCGTGACTGTACCATCCGCTGCGCCTCGTCTTCCGACACGCCTCATTGGCCGGCGGGACCTCTGCCATTCACCGGACAGCTGAGGTTATAAACAAGCCTTTTTGTCGTCCGTACACTTGCATGTCCTGACGGCAGTCATATTTTGGTGTCATCAGTGAAATTGGTGCTGGGACGACACTTTCCTGCTTACAGAATGACATTCAGCAGTCTGGAGAAAACAAAAAGACAAAACATTGCCTTGCCAAGGGACGCTCTCATCCGACCACCCAGCAGGTTCTGGAGATGCTAGAAAAATTAGTATGTCCAGCGTCCTATTATTGACTGCATGCTTCCAATACCTGTCCGAGGCTGTCCTGTCTTTGTGTTGTAATGCAATGTGGAGATGAGTGATGGCTTCTCCAATGGGCCCTAAGGGCAGGAAGTCTTCCTTATCTGTATATCACATTAAGTCATCACTACATCCGATGACACTGTGGTTCAGGAGAACTCTCCAACTTTCTTGAAGGTGAAAATAGAGAACCTAAAAAATAATAACTTTTGTATGAACCAATGATATCCAGGCACACACAGTTTTTAAAGAAATTACAAATGTTAAGTTAATCACATGTCGCTTTGTAGCAGTACATTTCCAGGTAGTCTTTAAGGTAGGACATAACGGATATATATTATCTGGTGTATACTTATCAGTAAGTGTGGTACTTTTTAATCAGATACTGGGGGTGTGACTCTTCTCAGCCCAATTAATATAACACATCTGCTCCAACGTGCAACTGTTAGAAGTGTGCAAAATTTAATACAATTGGGTAAACTTTATAACCCTTGCTTCTCCTGTTGGGTGAGTTAGATCTCACTCTCAGTGAGTTGAGCTTGTCTCGTGTTTCTGACTCTGGTGCTGTTCCAGTAAACCAGACTTGAATCCAGCAAACCAGAATATGCTGACGATTCGAATTTCCCCTTCGAGCCAAATTTGGCTTCATTTCATGCACTTTTATCTGATCTAGAACGCTTTTCCAAGATATCGGGATTAGATTTAAATCCTGAAAAATGTAAAATTTTACGCTTAGGACCTTTAAAGTTTTCCAATTTTTGTTTGCCCACCCACCTACCATTTCAATGGGTAGATGGTGGTGTAGACGTATTAGGAATTCATATTCCTACTGACATGGATACACTTGTTGATGTAAATATTGAACCCCGTTTAGAACGTTTAGATAGGTTATTGCGCCCTTGGAAAGGCAAATCATTATCTCTGTACGGAAAAATTACTGTTGTTAATTCCCTGGTGGTTCCCCAGTTCACAAATTTATTTCAAGTTTTACCTTCGCCAAATGAATTATTTTTCAAAATATACGAGAAGAAGACTTTAAACTTCCAGTCTTTTAAAATATTAACATCTGTCTTTCAAAAGACAGAAGGTCTTATTGCATCTCGGAGGGGAAAGCTGGAGAAGCATCGGGGTAAGTGGGGAACTCTGTGTTCATTATAATTTCGGTTATTGTTATTATGTCATTGTTAAGATTATTTTCATTTCGTCAAGCTCGAAAGTAATGGCTTTATGGGAGGCTTTTCCGTTCTTTATGTTATTTTCTATTTGTACAAGCCGTCTTGGCTTTTCAGTGTACTTTTGTATTATT